CCTTGCGGGACAGGGGACTGGACTCGATGACCTCTCGAGGTCCCTTCCAGTCCTATATTCTATGATTCTATGATTCTATGACATTAATACTTCCCTATCCTAGGGTGACCAGATGTCCTGATTTTATAGGGACAGTCCTGATTTTTGAGTCTTTTTCTTATATAGGCTCCTATTACCCCCCACCCCCATCCCAGTTTTTTACATTTGCTGTCTGGTCACCCTACCCTATCCCTATTGGAAAATCCTTGCCTAATACATCCTAAGATTGTATTCATCTTCTCATGGTGTTACGGGAAAACTTATGACAGGAGATACCTTTATAAAGGACCCCTTCCCAGACAGGCCCATTTACCCTGAATTAGTATCTATCACCTATGGTCATACCAATAATTATTACTCACTCTAAGGAATAAAACAAAAGGGATTTATTAACAAAACAGCTCAGAGGTTTAATGAACACCAGAGGAATAAAGATAGATATTTCTATTATATTGCATGGATGTAAGCAGGAGACAACAGAAAACCAGATGGGATCAGCAAACCCAGGAACCCCTTGAGAACCAGGACCAGGAGCCTCAGGAGAACACGCCACCACTGGATCAAGTCACCACTGGTTTGGATACGGAACCACTCGATGGCAGGAGCAGATAGGTGTCTTCTTCTTCGATGTTACCACAAATGGCCACAGGCTACCTCTAGGGCAGACAGCAACTGGCGCACTGTGTTGAACTCTTATATACTTTCCTGTTGCCGGGCAGATTTTCCTGCCTTTTCCTTCAAATTTCCTGCCCCTGACTCTGTTACTAGGCGGAACTCCCTTAAGCTTACTCAATCAAAAATAAGCAACAAAGAAAAGAACGTCAAGCCAAGAAACAAGAAGGCAAAACAACATGGCGGGTAACAAACAACAAAACAAATTTTCAGAAAATTCCTAACAGCTGCATCACCTTGGTGGCTCATAGTCATCCTGTGATTGACACACACATCCATGTCTCTCTCCTCTATTGCTTCCAGCTGATGATCCCCCGCAGCCTGTAGCAGAAATGATTATTATTAGACCCTAAGTTCTTGTTCTTACACTTTCTACTATTCAATTTCATGACATTTCCATCACGCCAGTCTTCAAACTCATCCAGATCTTCCTGTATAATGTCCTGATCCTCCTCTGCATTGATGATGTCTCCCAACTTTTTTATCTTTGGAAAATTTCAGTTAGTACACACCTACTTTTTGTGCCAAGGTTATTAATAAAATATTGAATAAGATTGGTCCCAAGACCTATCCTGGAGGAACTCCACTAGTAACATCACTCCAGTCCAATAATTCACCTTTTCAGCACAACCTGTTGCTTTCTCCCCTTTAGCCAGTGCCTCATCCACTTTTCCATTCTTGTACTAATCCTCATCTTCTGTAACGTAACTAATATTTTTCTGTGTGCTGCCATGTCAAATATTTTACTTATCTAAGATATCAGTTATTTTCTCAAAGAAAGGAATCAGGTTAGTCTGGCGTGATCTACCTTTAGTCTTAAATTACCTTACTTTATACATCTGTGGGAGCTGGCAGCACTCGAATGGACACACATTCACTGGGAGTAGACACGGGAGTTCAAAAATGAAAGACACAAAAACCCGTGATACATATAAAATTATTTTTGGACCATTCTCATAATTTTTATACTTTTGAGGTTGGCAATACAGTAAATAATAAAGTAGTGAATCTCCTGTATTCTGAAGGTTTCTATATACAGTAAATGTCTCTGAAGCACACTTGGGATTAGAGAGTATTTCACAAGTAGTTCAAACAGTATTACTGGAGTGGGTGGGTGAGGTTTTTGTGGCTTACAATGTGCAGGAGATCAGGCTAGATGATCATGATGGTCCCTTCTGACCTTATAGTCTATGAGTATGCTGTAGGACATTTGGTAGCTACTTTTGTCCTTGGTCCTTTAACATCAATATCACTGGTCATGAGGAGGAGGGA